ATATTACAATCCTTTTGCTTTTAAATGAATAAATAAGAAACACCCTCGGTCTGTAGCCCTTGGCTGGAAAGTGGTTTTGCGCAACTTATCAGATCGTGCGCTTTGAGTGGCGCCACCGTCGTTGTAATCAAACTGTAGTCGTTAGTTTTAAAACGTTTAAAAATGTAGCGTAATTATAACCTAAATTAGAAAATAACCCTAGAACCTAGAGTAAACTCTCCCTTTAAAAATAGGAAATAGGTCAGAAACCCATTTCCTATTTGCAACGTCGCCGCGTCAACCGCGTAGCTTCCTTCGTTTTGACATGAATCGTATTTTGCACGACATGGTTTTCACGTTATTTACCGTCGTGTGGCGAGGCCAAGCGGTAAATTCCATGTCGTGCAAAAGTACGATTTATGTCAAAACGAAGGAAGCTACGCGGTTTGTAATACTACCGAAAGATAGAATAAGGACCAGTGAACAAAAGAAGCTCATGTTTGTATACATTTTTATTTTTATTCACATCGAACTCGTACGACAAAGTGTATTGAAATCGGTACCAAATACGTGTCCTATAAACTCCTTTGTCTTTATTAACTCCTGATATGATATATAGAACAATGTATCGATATTAATATCACAATTATTTCATGCTAAAATGCTAAAGATATAAGTTTATGAGTTAAGAACCCCCTCCCCCAACCATCAGCGAACGCAGGAGAGGTAGCATGCCGTAGTGAGGCATATATTTACCCATTTCAGGACTTCGGCACAATTACGCCAAATAAACGTCATTGCTGACACACCATGAATCTATGAGCGTTTGCGATTAAATTTCTGTGTTTACTTCATCTAGATAACGTTTTAACGTTCTTGAAATCTAAACAATAAATGAAATTTAATAATCGCCATCAAGAATGTGTAAATTATATATTTGTGAAACATTTTCAATGTTCAATATGCCTAGATGTGTGGGTAGCTAAGATATTGTGTAGTTAAGCTCTACTTTACTCTAATTAAATCTTCGCTTCTTTAATTATTTGTTTCGCTTGAACGTTGGTTTTTATCTGTTGTGTATTCGAAACCCCGTACGTTTTCCACGCAATTATTTGTCTTTTTTAAAATTAATGGTTATTCCCTTCGCAGATAGAGCTTACTATGTCGTATATACATGCCTGAGAGATACCGTTTGTCATAAAATAGTAAGCCGACTGTGCACCTCATTTAATTCATGTTCATGGCGGGTTACGGTAATATAATCACCGTACAAACAGTGTATAGGTGTTTTTCAATGGATAATAAATAACGTTCCGTTCTACAGCTATATCGTCATTCGCTTATCTTTTATACATGCGCACAGACTTTATACGGACCTATCATGATTTCACAGGCATAGCT